TTCTATAGTTTAGTTTTTAAGTTTTTAATGTTAAGTTATCGTAGAGTGTTTTTAACATCTTTTATAAAACCTACAAATTGTTTTTGTAAGTATGAACCCTTTTGGTTATTTACTTATATTTTACATCGTTTTATTTTTATTTGTAGTGAACTGATGATGCTTTTGAAAACTAAAAAGCGAACCGTATTCAATTAAATCAATGAAGTAGTTGACGACTTTCATTTGCCTATTATTGACCGATACAACCTCTGCTATTCAACTATTGAATATTTTTTAAATTTAATCAACGGTCGTATTTTTTGCTATATATATATATATATATATATATATATATATATATATATATATATAATATATATATATATATATATATATATATATATATCGAGAAAAGGAGTACGACTAATATAAAATATCAATCAATAGTCAATCCAATATAAAATAAGGATCACTCGAAGAGTGGCGGGTTTTTCGGTCAAAAATTGGAGAAAAAAAGACAAAGATGATGGCTACTTCATCTATTTATTGAAAACGTTTCGCTATCCAATTTGATAGCATCATCAGTTCATCTAAAAAGAACAATATGGAAAACCTAACATCCAATGAAAAGCTATTAAGTATGTTACCTCAACCTGCTACATATTTTTGAGGGAATAATGCTCAAGACGATAGTGATCCTGAAGATTTACTACCATTATCCAAACGTGTTAACTTGGCCGCTGGTTAAAAACTACTAACCGATACTATAAAAGTTACACCTGCCAGTGAATTAAGGGCATCAGATATCCAAGAAAATCCTAAGGCCAAACTCAAAAGAAAAAATAAAGTTGAATCTGAATCAAAAAATTGGATAGCTAACAAGAACAAAAATCTAAAAATGAAAGGGCGAGAATATTTAGGGTATAGAAGACCTAAAAATGACAACAAAGTTTTTCATGATACGATAAGAAGTGCAAGAAAAATGTCAGGTATTTGTAATTCACAAATTCGCAAGAAATCTAATAAAAGGTTCTGTCATGAAATAAAAGAAGAAGAGAGATTGGCATTATATAATGGGTTTTGGAATGATATGAATTGGGAACAAAGAAAAATGTATGTCTCGTCTCTGGTTGACTGTCATAGTGCTACAAGAAAGAGAACACAAGAACATACTTCAAGAAGAAACGCAACTTTGGTATATCATTTAAAAATTGGAAGTACAAGAAGTCAAGTCTGCAAGAAAACTTTTTTAAACACTTTTAGTTTAGGAGAATGGACAGTTAGAAATTGGGTGACTGAAACAAAGGACAATGCAGGAATTCACAAGAGTAGAGAGAATAAAATTGCTGAAAGAAGTGAGATCTTAAGAAAAAGTAAAAAGAAGGAACAAAAAGAAAATCTGATAACCTATTTAGATTCTATTCCAAAACTACCATCTCACTATTGCCGGAAGCAAACAGATAAACAATATTTGGGACCAATGTTTACTACTATGACAAAATTTTTTAATCACTATGTTAAATACTGTGAAGAAAAGCAAATATCACATTTAAGTAGGCAAGTATTTGATTCAGTTGTATCAGGGGCAAATATCTCCATATTTCACCCCAAAAAAAGATGCATGTGACATGTGCATAAAATACAAGATTGGAAATTTGAATCAAAATGACTATAAAATGCACATTGATCGAAAAGAATTAGCTCGACAGGAGAAAAGTGAAGACAAAAAAAGAGCTGAAGATGGCCAATGCATTGTCGTGACTGCAGATGTACAGGCTGTGAAATAGTCACCATTCTTTAATGCCAGCGCCTTATACTACAAAACGAAGCTATGCGTTCACAATTACACTATATTTGATTTAGCAACACATGATGCTACTTGTTATTGGTGGAATGAATCTCAAGGTGAGCTTGTAGCATCAGTTTTCGCTAGTTGCCTTATTGACTACTTGAATAAATATAAAAAAATGGAAAAACCTATTGTAATTTGGACGGATGGCTGCACCTACCAAAACAGAAATTCTGTGTTGTCAAGTGCTTTACTCATGTTCTCGATAAATATATATATATATATATATATATATATATATATATATATAAGGTTCTTGAACTCCTAAGTGGAGCATAGAGCTTCAGTGAAAACGCGCCATCGGGTTCTATTTTGCGCTAAGGCCATGATGGATCTATCTCGTCCATGATGGATCTTATCCAAGTTTGTACTGGGCGACCTTTTTTTCGTTTTCCTTGGGGATTCCACTCTAGGGCAGTCTTTGCAATACTGGAGTTATTTTTTCGGAGTGTGTGACCGATCCAACCCCACTTTCTGGACTTTATTTCATTTACTACCCTCTTTTGTTTGGTCAGGTGTAGTAAGTCTTCGTTTCTGATGATGTTAGGCCAGAAAATACGAACAATTCTTCGTAGACATTTATTAACAAAGACCTGCAGTTTGTCTGTAAGGGTTTTTGTCGCTTTCCAGGTTTCACATCCGTAAAGTAGTACAGACATGACATTTGACTGGAATATGCGGATCTTTGTCCTCGTAGTGTATTCTCCAGACCTCCAAACAGGGTTGAGCATGCTGAAAGCTTGTTGCGCTTTTCGTATCCTCATACGAATATCGTCTTCTGTACCTCCGCTTTCTGGTATGACACTTCCAAGATACGTAAAGTTTTCCACATTTTCAATCTGCATGTTATTAATGGTGAATAGCGTGTTGTTTCTTGCATTTATTCTCATGGATTTGGTTTTACCAATATTGATTTTCAAACCTATTTTATTGGCTTCAGTGGAAAGTGTTTCCAATTGGTCAGCCACATCTTGGAACCTTTGTCCTAACAGGCAGATATCGTCGGCGTATTCTAGATCGCTTAGGCGTGTGGTTAACGTCCATTGTATCCCTCTTGTGTCAGAGTCTAGTTTGGAGAGAACATAGTCTAGAGCTATGTTAAAAAGAAACGGAGAAAGCACGCATCCCTGTCTGACTCCAGTAAGTACGTCAAATTCGTCACTGTTGATCCCATTGTGTGTCACGCTGCATTTCGCTTCAGTGTACAGTAACTTTATAATGGATATTATTTTATGCGGGATGTTTCTTAGCTCTAAAATTTTCCATATTGCATCATGAGATAAGCTGTCAAAAGCACGCTCGAAATCAACAAAAACCATGTATAGGGGTGTGTTCCATTCAACCGATTGTTCCATTATTAGCCTCACAGTATTAATGTGGTCTATGCAGGAGGATTCTGGTCTAAAGCCTACTTGATTAGCTCGATAAATAACAACATTATAATTGAGCAGAAGTATTTAGAACGCGGACACATTCAGATGAAGTGTGATTCTATGAATGCCACAATTAAAAACCAATTAAAAAACAGAATTATCCGTCTTCCTTCAGATTATGTTAGCGTAACGAAAGAAGCTCGACAAAATCCCCGACCATATGATGTGAAATACCTGTCATTTGACTTTTTCACAGATTATGCCAGCAACAAACTTTGTTCATCAATTAGGCCATAATTACTCACAGTCAATGAAATCAGGTGTCTCAAATATTTGCCAGAAGATAAAATTATGATAAAATTATGTTATATTATTAAGATAAAATAATGTGTTTTTTCTGATGAATACAAAGAACTGCCACAACGGATAAAAATTCCAGAAATCCTAACTCCGGATTTAATGCCGAAATTATACAAAAATCCACTTAAAATAAAACAGACCAAATGGCAACACTTGCAGCAATTAAAGGAAATTTTGCCAAAAGAATGTCATCATTTTTATGATAGTCTTCCACATCAATAAACTTTTGTTTTTGGTAATTTGTTAGTTTCGTTTAATTTCAATATCATTAAACGTTTATTTCTGTAATTGTTTGTTTTTGTTGATAATACCTCGTATCGTAATATTATGTACCTAGTGTAGAAAAATACCACGTATATCTACTTACAAACTGAAAAAAATTCGAAGATTAAAATTTTAGTTAAAAAAGTATCTTTGAGTATATAAAATATATGCACAAAAGATTAAATGTTTAAATGCAAATAGATAGATGCACAAATCAGTTTTTTGTGTCTCCTGTAAAATTGTCATTTTGGAGATAAGAGGTATTGTTTCTTAAGCATCGTGGAAAAATATCGAACTTAGTAGTGAAGTTCGGTTCGGTTCGTATGCCCCTTTGTCCGCTTCTCGTCGATCGATGCTGGTAGGGTTAATAAATGTTGAAGTTGTAGAGTAAAAGTGATGATTTATTGACAGCAACTCGTAATTACACAATATGGTGTTCGTTCGGTAACTACTCAATATTGACTGTGTTCATTTGAACTCAAATCCCCAATTTATAATCTCACACATAATAGATACATAAGCACCTTAGGTCTTGCTTCGTTCATTCACACCACCTAGCTTTTGCTTATAATACAATTTAATCTACGCCTTAATTGCGACACTTACGAAGTTCAATTAGAAAATATTATTATTCGGCAATTTATTTAGTTGTAGGTAAATGAACTAATATTAAATTATCATACGATATGGTTTTGCAATATGTATAATGCAAACTTATACACGGTGAAACTATAAAAGATTAAGAAGTTAAGAATAATGTGAGATTACAAATTAAGGGGTTAATTTGTGATTGAACACATCGTTATATAAAAATCAGAACCAAGAAAGTAAAATATTAAAGAATATTCACGAAACACTCTTTAAGTGCACTGTAGACAATATATAAATTAATTTTACCTAAATTATGCCAATAAAAGTAAGATATTACAAATAAACATAGCCTCCAAAGTTAATAGTTTTAAGCACATACATGATTAAGTTTATCTGACGACGCACTATACTATCAACTTACAATCAATTTTAATGAAAAAACGTTGTTTCAGAACTAACTGATACAATGTTTTAAAGAATAAATAATGTAAAACATAAAAAATAACCAATGCTTGCTAATTAGTCAATTATTAGGCAATAATATAAGTGCGCCTTGAAATATTAAAAGTTTCCTTTTATTTTTTATTGCAGAATATTTTTGTAGTCCATATGATGACATTTTATGTAGCATTATGGATATCATTTCTTCTAGTAACAGTTACGTCTTGGAAACTAAAAGCGTATCCTTATGCCGATTTAAATTTTGTAAGTAGATACTGTTATTTTTAAAATGATATTTAACCTCTTTCCTTGATATTTATTTTTTTATTTTTTGCTAGTCAGTATTGTTTCATTTAAACAGCCATTATCACCTGTAAGTTGAAGCTTACTAGGGCGCCTGATGAAACTAAGTCTAGCTTATCAATAAAAATGAAAAAAATTCCTAACTAAAAAACTATGGAATTTCGTTGAATAAAGAAACAGTATATATTCTGAATATAATAAAAAATATTAATTATTGTTACTAACTTCTTCGGGCTATACTGTAGAGCAAAGTTTTTGAAAAATATGTTTAGTATTAGAATTTGACATTAAAATTTCTTTTTATTGTTGAAGTTATACTTCTGTACACACGGTCGACGTTGGAAATTTGCACGAGAGTGAATCTGTGAAACCATTACATATGTAAGATAATGAGTAAGAGAGAGATAGAAGATATATTTTCTCTCTCTTCCTCTCTCGAAAATAAAAATGTTATACTTAGTTCGCTATTCTCTGTCCGAACTGTCTAGTGACTTTAGTAATTATTTTTCTGCGAAGTTAGTTACTTTTGACCGACTAAAAGTGGCTAGAAATAACTATACGCCCAAGCACACGTACTCATAGCCAATATTAATAGTAAACCAGTAGTAAACAAACTAAATAGTAAATAAAATAAAACTTTGCGAATTTTTTTTTATTAAGTTTAATGCGTCGACAACTAATAGTCATTGGCATGGTACAGTGAATTTTTACAGTCAGGTACCTAGTGTAGTGTATGTGTAGGTGTACAGTAATTGTCTTGATACGTAGCAAAGTCGACGTCATTGTCTTTGCTAAGAGACGCTAATTGTATCCGAACGTCTGCGGTCCCTCCGATGAGTACCGATCGCACAAGGATAGAAATTATTTTCATCCATTAATTTTTAATAAACGAAAATTTCTCCACCCAGGTGAGATTCGAACTTACGACCTTTAGGTTCAAAGGTAGGCGCTCTTACCACTGAGCCACAGAGGGGGTTACTTTGCGAATTACTGACAATCAATATTTATTTATGAACATTTGGTAAAATTCGTTAAAGATATCAATGTATTTAACAAAATCTAACATTTATTGTAAATAAATTATCTTATTTATATGGATATATGTCGCTAATAACCTCAGAGGTTGATGCGACTATATTGTAAAATAAAAAAAAGTTATTTATCTGCACCATATAGTAAATGATTATGTTAAATTATAACAACTAAAATATATTTTTTAAATATATACTACCCAAAATTTGATGGGTTTAGTATGCACTTCCACTATTTAGAATAATTCTTCTTTTTTCCAAGAAAGAAGTCTGCAATAGTAGTATACTTAAGCTATTAATACTGAGAAGTAGGAATTGTTGTGTTGTAGGTTTCCGACAATGAATCTGTCAAAATATGCCCGTGCTAAGCGAATGGAGTTATACTATTGTATATATATATATATTATATATATATATATATATATATATATATATATATATAATATAGAACATTGTATATATATATATATATATATATATATATATATATATATATATATATATAATATTATATATAATATAATATATATTAATATTATTATTTATGTGATATGTTTTGTATTATTTATTAAATGTTCATAATTATTTTAGACTTCTGTATTTCAAAATAAACACTGTATGAGAGACAACTGTAAATTTTGAAATCCGTTAGTATCATTTCTAATTGGCAAACCTTTTACATGTTTGGTTCATACGCTGGTGGACGTGAGTTCCTAACGTGAATTTTAGTTTTTATTTTTGAAATATTTAAAAACCTCAAGTTAATGTTATTAAATATATGTAATTTACGTATATGTAATTTTTATCTAAGTAAAGTAAGTTATGTATATTGGCAGTTTTAAATACTTATAAATATTGCATTTTAATTTGTATTGTATTGTATTATTATATTGAATTATGTTGCAGTGTATTGTATTGTAATTTTTATATTAATAACAAAATAAACAATGAATTCTACTGCAGAGTATGTGTAAAAAAATTTTTTGCATTCAACTCCTTTTATATATATATGAAAATAAAAATATATATTTTCATTAAAAGATTGATACAATCCTTTATTTACTATAATCCTATTACAGGTCAAATGTTTATATACAGCAAACGGAGCACCATATAACTATATACCTAATTCTTTTTCTCTTTCTGCTCGCTCTTACCTGTAGCATTAAATACGTAATAATTGTGCAGATTGACTCCCATATAAACGGCGAACGCGTGTATAGAAGTATAACTTCTACCGGCAGTCCCACTGGACTGCCACACTTTTTTACTTTTTTTACTTAATTACTTATCTTAGCTTTACACACTATATTCTGTTTGCTGTGTACCACATTCCGTACCTCCTTCTTGTCATATGTATCTTCTTCAGTAAGGTCTCTGTCTCCATTGCTGTTTTTATTTGTTCATTCCACTGTAGTCTAGTCCGTCCTCTTTATTTTTTCTAGTCATTCTCGTCTCATAGATCCCTAACATATGTCCATACTAGAGTAATTTCCGTTTTTCTATTTCTTCGTTTGGTGTCCCCTTCACATTCATTACTCTAATTCGTTAATTTTTTCACTTCACTGTCCATTTGTATTAGTCTGCAGCTTCTTCAAAACATCATTTTCATTGTATTTATTTTGTTTTCTATTTTTTTATTCATCAATCACGTCTTTGAGCCATACAACAGCTTTTCACTATTGGTTTAAAGATGTGTTGTTTAATTTTGCTTAACATACGTTATAGAGAAGTGGTGATAGCACCCTTCTTTGTGTTTACCTCCTCGTTTTATCAGGATCTCAGCACTTTTGCAAAGTTTTGCTTATATCTTTCTCCTTATTATGCCGATAGGCCGATGTGGAGCCTTTAAAAGCGCTTTTTGTAGCCTGGAGGACTGCAGTTAATCTTTCATTTTCTCGAAGTAGGCTCTTCAATCAGCTTTTTGTCTTTGTCTACAGACTTTCTTAAATTCTCTGAGGTTTGATTGATAAGAATCCCAACCCTCTTTAAGTTTGGTGTGTTTCGCTCTATAGAAAGCAATTCTTGCTGTCTTCGTAAGGTGACAGTTTTGTTTCAGTTCAGTGCACCACCAAGAGTTACTTTTGCAAATTCCGGAACCATGCTTATAGGACAGGAGTTTTTATAAGCATAGCTTATTTTGCTTTGAATAGATACCGTATACTTTTTCAATTCTGTCTTCGTTCCTGGTGTTGAAGCATCCAGTTCCAGAGCATCTTCTTAGCATTGTCGATTGTAGAATTCTATATCTGCTCTCTTAGAGTTACTCGATTTGATAAGATTTTTCCAATAGTATAGGTTGGCCAGCGGTGGTCAAACATAGAGAAATCTTCCGATAACTACCAGTTCTGAATTTTATTTGATATTTCAGCTTTTGGTAGCGTGATATATATGACTGTTTGGCTACAAATATTAATAAAAGTGCCTTTATTTAAAATATACAAATCTTTTCTAATAATATAGTCATTAAGAGACTTACCTCGAGCCTTCTTATCTCTGCTGCCTCAACCTAGATGGTCAGAATTCAAATCGTAGCCGATAATAAGTTGTACCTTCCTACCGAGACAATGCTTTACCAAATTTTGCATCTCCTTTGTTGGTAGTAGGCTGGCTACATCTAAAGGTAGTTAGACCTATGCTAGTATAAACTCTTTGTTCAGAGAGCCTTTGATTTTCCTGGTAACATATATGGCGGGTAAGCTAAAAATTAGACCATTTACACTGCTAGAACCAGTTATTTTGTACTTAATTATCTAAATTTTTTTGAATTAGTGCTATTGCATCCTGCGTTATATCCACGAGGCGGTTGATGTATCGGCGTGATGTCACCGTTGCCACTTTTTTGTGTTGGAAGTTGCATTGAATAATAGTAACCATTTTCCGACGTCGTTGCCCATGGCTTAATTGTCGTTCTGGTTCTTTTAGGTGTTCATTTTCTCCTCAGTTAAGGTGGAGGCAGCCTTGGTCGTTTCGACATTTTCTCTGCAGAGTTCGTTAACTATTATCTAATGATCGTCTATTGCTGTAAAATCAGGGCTGTCTCAATCCCAATAGCCGTCTTCGGCTGCCGAGTATTCGAGGTTCGTGGATCCAAGTAAGTGTCCTCCACTTTGTTGGTGGCTTGCTTTTAAGGTCAGTGAGGTCGTGTAGCTCAGCCTCATTACTCTTTTCCTAAACACATCCATGTCCTGGTCTCTGATTCCGACGATCAACAATGTATCCTTTAGGATTACTTTTTATCTCATGGTGAAAGGTGTACCATCTTGCAACTTCCATGTCTAGATTTTAGTCATCAGGGATGGTGGTAGAATCTTTCGGGATCTATAGAGAGGTAAGCTTATCCTGATTCACAATATCCGACCTTTTCCAGCCATGCCAGCGCCTCATCGTCATCACACACTACTCTCTTGGGAGGTGGACAAGACTGCTCTGTCCAATTTCTCGATCAGGCTACATTTGATAAGGTTTGCTCGGTCGGCAGTGGCCTTTCCATACGAGTTTACCATATCCTAAAGATATCTTTAAGCAGCTTTCTCTGAGTTTTAAGAAGGGGCAGCGGCATTTTTACCGCTGCGTGATTTCTTGCTTCTGCAGCGTACCTTTCGTGAAGTTACTATGGCGAAGGCGCTTCACACCGGGATCTGTCGGTCCTTATCCTCTTTTGGAGGTAAATCCATTGCCAGCCTCCGATGTGGGCACCCCCACTAATGCTTTGGGAGAGGCTTAGGAGGGATGAGCTGCTCCCGCGGGTGTTCCTACTTTCTTTTTGTCTGGGGATGTCCATCCTTAACTTCGGCTTCAGGCTTCATTGAACGTTTTAGTTCAGCCTCCGCTTGGGCCAAAATCGGAGATGAACAGTTCTGCCCATACTCAATTGCAGCTTTAGGCTGAGGTAAACGTTTTGATACTGAGGATTTGGTTTTGGTTTTG